AAAAAAAAACCATTTTTTAATTATCAGAAAGATTCTTTTAATTTGGTCGCTCTCTTGTATCATAAGGGTTAAAAAAACAAATTAATAATTATTATATTTAAGATCTTAGAGGAAACATATTATTTTATGAAAAAGATAAAACGAAAGATCAATCATGCTAGGAAATGCATTTGCAAGTAGAATTTTTAATCTCATCTCTACCAATAATTTGGAACATTTAATCTTTTCGGACTTCGGACACGTATTTCTCCTTACGACTTTAGATTATTGAGATTTTGCTTTCTCTTTTAAGGGTTAAGAGAAAATAATCTCTGCATAAAATTAGATATTAATAGTTGAATGTTTGGTTATGAAATATTACAAAATTTCTATGATAATATTTGTAATATTTTATTGCAAATATAATGTAACGCAACCCTTTATGTATTAGCAACACATGTATTAGATTATGTAATGCAAAAACACCGTTAAACTATATATACATAGATTATACTGATTATATATATATATATATTATAAATACACCGACTGTTTTTAGTTTAAATGGTTGGATAGGTGACTATTTAAATTAAGGAACAATTACACTGTATATCACCCGACCCAGTTCTATAACCATAAAGAGCCCATATTTTGGGATTTTACACGCTAAGACCCATATGTATATATTTTGAAATAAAAGTTTCAATGTTTAACCCAAACAATCTTTACTCATCTCTTCTAGATTTTCTCCTCTTCTTCTCTCCACTCTAATGGCCACCTCTCCTAAGTTTGTTGTGAAGTCAAGATTTTGATATCCAAACCAAAATTAGGTTGAGGGAGTTAGAAGCTTTTCAGATCTGAAAATTTATGAAAGAATCGTGCTCAAATTCGAGTGGGTGCTATTGAAATTAATTGATAATAGTCCAAGAAGCTTCAACCTAGAGATTTGGTTCAGTTGGACTACTTTGCAACTCTTTGAGAGCGAATTTGGTGAGGTAAAATTGGGAAAAGAACTGAGTTCTTGATTTTTATTGAAATTTCTTCAAGATTGAAATTCTGGATTGAAAAAGCCGAACTGGGTTCTTATTTTTGTTGAAATTTCTTCAAGATTGAAGTTCTAGACAGAGATTTTAAGCCTATTCCAATTTATGAGTTTTTAATAGACATGGGGAAGATGTATTTTGGTAAAAAAATCAAATGGGTGTTGATTAATATCGGTGAAATTATTTGGGTGAAGCTAAAAATATTAAAAAAGCTTTTAGTAACTAGAATCTAGAGTACTGGATTGATTGAGCATGATTAGCATTGGTTTTGAGAATCATACCTTTTGAAAAAGGAAATTGAAGGTGAAATTCAGTTTTCATATACAACATTATACATCATTATACAATATTATACAGCATTATACAAAATTATAATAAGTGTATAATATTGTATAATGTTGTATATTAGGTGTGTAAGTAGTGTTATACAACATTACTCTTTCTATTCGCGATTTCTGTTCGACTTTGGTGCAGTGGTCTTTCTCTTTGAAGTAAGTTCCTATTTCACATGTGCGTTAAAGCTAATTTTGCTTTTCTGTGTTGGTGAAATACTAGAATACATTATTATACATTCCATATACGAGTTTATACTAAGTTATACATTTTTATACATGTACAACATATGTGGACTTAAAACTGAAATTAAATTTTTTCTTACTTTTTCTCGAACAATCGATGTATAAAGTCAATTTTTTTGTTGATTTCTCTGCCAAATTGCGAATTTGTACCCATTTTTTTTCAATTTTATTTTTTATTTCTTTTGTTTCTGCTATTTAGAACTCAGGACAGAAGAAAATTTAAATTTTTTTCAAGTTGTATTATAGTTGGTTGCATTGTTGTAATTGCAATAGGAATGTATATGATCGATTTAAGTTGGTTGTGTGTAAAGAATAAAAAATCACATATAGATTTGTAAAATTATATCCGGACGATGATGTCATATTGTGAAACTTTTATGGGCTACACGGATGAAACTTAAAATGATGGCTAAGCGGATGAAAGCACCTACGCTGACTGTACTTTTATGCAATTATCCCTTAAATTAATTCTTCCTTAAAAACTACTACTATACATTACTTATATGTTAACGTTTCTTACTTACTTATAATTATTTATTAGTACTTAATCACCGCAATAAAAGTTCTGCAGCATAAAGCCAAAGAAACCTAACAGTATTCTCCACATTTACTAATTATAAGGTAACTTTCATGGAGATTTCTGGGCAGGACTTTGATGTCTCTTCTTAAATTTGATTTTAACTTTTCTGGATGGAAAAGGCCAAACAAATGTTAGTGCTTTTCTCCTTTCTTTTTCATTTTTCCGTTTCGCAATCCAAATTCATATGCACGACAATGATGGCCAATCACGAAAAGAATTAATTCATATTATATGACACTACTACTGTTGGAAAAATCAAATTTATATGGTATTAGCTAAAACTTATCATATAATTTTCAAATAAATTTAATTATAAAACGCAGTAATTTTTAGTACTTTTTATATTATCTCATTTTTTATTTAAAAATATTAAATAAATATTTGAACTAAGAGAAAATTAGAGATTTTTATGCTCGCACTCTAACGTTTTAATTTTTTGTTTAAATGAAAGGAGTAAAGTGGAAGTAACTGACATGAATGAGGCAGCAGCAATTGTCTGGTTCTTATTTGTCCGGTCTACCAAATTTCACCTATCATTTTTAATAGGCAGTACTATGTTACCCCAAACCCCCCNATACAAATAAGATAAGAAGATTTAATATTTTAATATATATATATATAGATTTTTATCTTATATACATATTGTAATCTTCCAGTAAAATTGATTCGAATAAACGTCTTCCACCTTCTAGTTCCATTCTGTCTGCATTTATGTCATGTCTTCATAGTTCATAGAAGTTAGTGGTTTGAGTTATTTCAGAACTTTTAATTGAGAAGCAGCTAACCTTTGGTAAATTTGTGGGAGGAATTTTTTGCCTGAAATAAAAACTCCTACTCCCACTTCAAGCTAGCCCTAAATTAGCAGTCTTAGCTCTACTGTGCCCATCAACAAAGCATATCACTAATTAACCAAAATATTAAACCTAATTAGGAACACCCCTACTTGCCTATAGGTAAATTTGTGCTTTCATGTGCATATGTACTGAGTTAGAAATGTGATTAAGACATAAAGATGTATAGCACAGCAGGGAAAAACTCTTTACTTGCACGTTTCAAATTTTGCACCCATCTGGCAATTGACTTGTTGATAACGCAAAAATGGGTACAGCTATATTGGAGAGCAAATGTCCAAGAAAAGTACAAATTGAAGTGAGTCATGTTCCCTAAAACTAGGGATGTCAATGGTGCGGGACGGGTGCGGGACGGGTTGCGAGTTTAATGCAAGTTCAATGCCGGGCAACTTTGAATTTTATCTTTTTTGAAACAAAACAATCATTTCAAATACGGTTAAGGATCAAATATATTCTTGTACTATCGAAAATAGGCCTTATTTATCCCCCGTTTGAGTTTCTTATTAAAAATATCCCCACCGTTATACATTAGTTGCACCTTTATCCCTTAGCCGTTAAAACACCCTCCCAGATTTTTAAGGAGCACGTGGCATCCTATTATTGGACCAGACGACCCGCCCCATTCTTTTAATTAAAACCCGCCCGCCCGATGTTCTTAGACCCATCGTTATATTTGTTCCATTTTCTATCGAGCCTTTCTTCTCCCTCAGAAAGAAATAACCTAGGGTTTCTTATCAGTCGCTATTTTCAGCTCCATTGAAAGGCCTTCTCTCCCATTTCCTTTCTTCTTCGCTTAACATATATTGGGTTGTGAAGATTTTCCACCATAGCAAGTTTTCTCATGTCAGAAAGTAGTTATTTATCAAAGAGGAGGTGCCATTGTGGGGAAATTGCCAATCACTTCACTTCAACGACTCCATTTAATCTCGGAAGGAGATTCTTTAAGTGCCCTAAACCTGATGTATGTATTATTTCATTAATTCTGGTTCCATCTGATTTTTTCGATAATTTAAATTTTTCCCTTGTATTATCGGTTCATAATTATAAGTCGTATGCTTTGTGGTTGGTAGATAAGCTTGTGCGGTTATTGGGAATGGCAAGATGATGTGTTACCAGATCGAGCGGTCATTACAATTAACAATATGAATTACAAATAGGATGCCGCTAATGTTAAACTCAACAATATGAAGTCGACGTTGGATGCGATTATTCTTGAAAGGGACAGATTAAAGGAAAGAGTAGATAACTTGAAGGCTTTAAAGAATTCGGAAGCGAACAAAGCCCGTAAATTGGAAGAGAAAGTCCTAAATATGAAGATCGTCATTATGATTTCATGGGCAATATTTATGGGATTTGTTGCTGCAATGCTAATGAAGTGAAGTTGATATATAAAGTGCAACTTTTCATGTTTTTGTATTGGTACTTAAAGTTGTAAACAATGAAGTGTTTTAGGTCTGATATTGACCCTTAACCGTTAGGTAAATATGTAATTGGTAAGAAAACTGTTTGTCTGAGATTTCAACTCAAAGGAACATTTGAAATAGCCTACTATAATTACAAGACTGTTTATATAGATTTCACAAATGAAGTTGATTACAACCATATATACTTCAGCAATATGTTAACATTGGTTCCTACACTATGAAAGTGCTAAAGTGGACTGCAGATTTCATCAAGATCAATAAACGTCCATTGAATATGAATGTGCTACAAGTTACTGTTAACATTACAAAATGCAGGATCATGAAGATTCTGAATATAGAAATACCGGTGCTAATTGTAAAGTCATGATCCTTAAACTAACAGCAGGAGCAAACAAACAACAGAACTAAAATCTGAAAATTTCATAAAAGCAGTAGTAAACAAATCTGCCCAGTAGCACTACACAAATAGCAAATTTCAGCAGCACTACACAAACACCACTATTAACAAGAAATGCTATTAACAGCAAGAGCAAACAAACAACAGAACTAAAATCTGAAATTTTCATAACAGCAGCAGTAAACAAATATGCCCAGCAGCACTACACAAATAGTTTGATGGATTGTTGGATGCAAAATTATGACCCCCAAAAACTTACAAATACTTGGTCATAATAAGACCTCCAATTTACCATCAAATTGAATAAAAAATAGCAGTTGATTATACTGTCACAATGCAGTAACTACAAGCCCAAAAGACATCCAAGACCACACATCATTTGTTTTTCTTCCTTGGCACCAACTTCTCAATTCTTTGCATACTTTGCATTTCCAATTGTCTTTTAGTAATAGCAGTTTTTCCCTTCCATGTAAGGCTGCCTGGTGAGTAAGGAAGATTTGATGGAACACTTAAACCATTATGATCACCTTTGAATGCAATTACCCTTGATCTTGAAGGTTGTGATAGTTGTTGTCTCTGTTGAAGCGTTGTTTTTTCTTCTGACACAACCATAGGCCTTATAGCTGGTTCATCTTCTAGTTCTGGATGCTCAAAACAGTAGCACAGCTTGAAGTCTCCCTATAGACACTTGGTGTATGCATGAAAACAAACTCTTGGCCTTGACTTGCTTGACTAGATTGGGGTGTAGTAAAGTTGATTTCTAGTTTCTCTAAAATATCTCTTTTAGCCCTCTTACACTTTCCATAACTGATATTTGTATTAAACACATTTTTGATATCTGCTCTCATCTCTTTAATCTTATACATAGGGTTATCTTGCAGCTTTTTCTTGAAATAAAGTGCAATTGTCTGATAATCAACCCTACTATTATCAAATACTTCATCACAAGCATGCTCTGGGTTTAATATCTTTATCCTAACGCCTGGAAGGTTTCCATCCCCAGAAATGAGAATAACAAAAGGGCAACCAGGAACACAATTGTACCTTAATCTTTCTTTATCACCTTTTTCTTGTTTTAAATCCTTTTTGTTTGTCATAGAATATAAGTTAATACATTTTCTTGCTTCAGGTATGTCCTTGAAGCTCATACCCTTATACAATTCCTTGTAATTTTGCAGTCCAACATCAATTTCTCTATTTTTTTGACATGCTATTGTTTGTAATTCCTCAGAATCATACCCTACCTCATCACCCTCACTGTCATTGTCACTCTCACTCTCACACTCAACCTCACTACAATCTGTACCAACTTCAGTTAGTGATGGATGTGAATCAAAATAATGAACAATATTAGGAACATTCACAGATAATTCACATTCATCTACTGCATAGAAGTTAAGACACTTAAACTCATCAGATATTAAAGATAATAACTGTCTTATCCCGGAATCATCAACTACTTCATAATAGTTACCAGAAGATCCATTTACAATTAGTTATTGAACACTTATATACATCAATTCCCCAATGTACTCATTTACTAGATCAATAAAGGAAATAAGGTCAGAGTCATAACTTTCCCAAGAGTGAACAAGCTTCTTTGAATATAACACATGGGGTTTTCTGATCCAATCCCCACCATGATGGAAGATTATGTCCACCAAAGTCATATTTAATATCCTGAAAAGTTAATAAACAGAAGGTTAAACAATAACGTGCAAGATGACCGTTAAACAAAAAAAATCTAGTCATTTATTAAACAGAAGGTTAAACTGAAACTCAAGACTATTAAACTGTTAACAGATGAACTGAATGATAAATAGAAATTAAGACAAGAATTAAAACAAAAAACTGAAGCTTAAACTGAAACTGAAAATCTATTAAACTGTTAACAAATGAAGACTATTAAGTGTTAAACAATAAAGAAAATCTATAAACTGAAAGCCCTAAAAAATGATTATTAAACAATATAGAAAATGTTATCAAACAATAAATTAATGGACAATAAGGAAAGACAGATATGGGGGCCAGAAATACAAAAAAATACACAACAACATGACGACATAGAATAAGAAAGTTAAGACCCACTAGCTTTAAAATATTCAGTTGGGGTCATCAACCATACACTGACAAAAAATACCTTAAACCCCAAACTTAAGACCCCACAATCTCAGGTCTGTCACCATTTTTTTCATCAAACAAACAAAAAGGCTTCAGCAGACCACAAACTATAACAAAATCCAAAAATAAATCTATCTCGAATAAACACAAACGAAAAACCCACCTAGACAACCCATGCAAACAAAATCCACTCATAAAAAACACAGCCAACGGTCAACTATAAATATTTAAGCTCATACTCAAAACCATAACATGATTAAAGAACGAAATCCCTATAGGTGACTAATTCGCGGCAAATTTAAGCAAGAAAATACATATAACAGCTTCAACAAACATTTACTTGAAGAAAGCACTTACTTTTGGTTCTTGTTGTTGGAAAAGCACGTGGAACGAATGGATTTGAATGGGGTGTGTTGAACCCTAGGTATCTTTGTGAGGGAGACGAAAGAAACGATTGGGAAATGAAAATGGAAAATGGGGCGGGTTTTTGGAAAATTGATTGAAAATAATGATGGGTCTAAGATAAGTTATTGGGTCGGGCGAGTTTTAATTAAAGGAATGGGGCGGGTCGTCTGGTCCAATCAAAGGATTCCACGTGCTCCTTAAGAATTTGGGAGGGTGTTTTTAACGGGTGAGGACAAATGTGCAACTAATGTATAACGGTGGGGATTTTTTTGATAAGAAACTCAAACGGGGGATAAATAAGGCCTATTTTCGATAGTAGAAGGGAAAATCAGACCCTTAACCGTTTCAACTACAATTTCACATTCTTTTTTACTAGCACAGATGCTATTTTGATTTATAAGTAACCAATTTGCATAAGTCTCGACAAATGATATTACTTAAATCAAGATATCGTATTAGTAATAGGAAATGATAGTAACCCATTTATTTTGGAAGATCGGCGTAATACTCTCTCAGTTTTATGTTTATGTGATTCTATTAAACTTTCCATTTTATAAAATAATAAAATGTCAAACTAGTTTGTTTTAAAAAAATTAAAGAAAAAAGGAAAAAAAAAACAACTTAAGTTGGGCTGGGCGGGGCGGGGTGAGACGGGTTGAAAACTGAAAAAATAACTANGCACCCGCACCCACTCCGCCCCATTGTTATCCCTACCTAGTACTCCCTCCATTTTAATTTAGACGATATAGTTTAACTTGACACAAAGTTTAAAAAAAATAAGACTTTTGAAGTTCCTATATTTCTTATCTAAGCCCACCTACCACCTTCCTTCCGGAGTAGTAGAACTTCTTTCTAATTTCATTCAAGAAACCGGTTTTGGATCAAGAATCCGACTTTTCTTTTATTGCTTCTTTCACCGGTATGGACCTAAAAGTTTAAGGGGTAAAATCTTTGTGGGGCCATGAAATTTGTGTGGCAATAAAAACTTTTCATTTAGGGTAAAATAAATAAATGAAATATCTAAAATTAAATTATATTCAAATATATAAATGTATCATTCTTTTTAGAATAAACTAACAAGAAAAGTGTTTCATTTAAATTGGAACATGGAGAGCAATGTTCTTAAAGGGTAAGCGTATTAAAATCAAAAGGTAAACACACAAAAAAAAAACAAATGGATTCATCTTCTACTATATACGCATAAAAATCAAATTTGACTTTATATGGTCTGTATAAATTTTATGACGAATGAGGACCCCTTCCGCTACCCTAGCTCCGCTATTGTTCAAACCTAGAGGTGAAGCTACTGCTCGTCATAACTCAAAAGGGTATTTTGTTTGATGGTCACAATCATGTGCATAAAATTGATAATGGTCTTATACAGGGAGAAATGTACCCGAAATTTGGAATGAAAATGACAAGTGTAATAAAATAAAAATAATGCAGTAAAATATAAATAGAAGAGATAGAAAGAAGGGAGAAGTGTTTTCTTCTTTCACTTTGGTGTATTTTTCCATTGCAATTACATGACCTTTTATAGTCATAAAAAGTAAAGATGATGGACATAAAGTAGAAAATTTAATCTTTAAGTTATTCACAACATGAGCATCCAATGTAGCATCCAATGTAGTATCCAATGTACAAACTATTCATAACACTCCCCCTTGGATGTCCATGTAAGATAATATGCCTCATTAAAAACTTACAAAAAATATTGGGATGTACATAGTTATTTATAATATGCATTGCTTGCTGCCTCATTAAAAACCTTACCAGGAAAACCCAGTGGGACAAAACCTTGGTTAAGGAAAAGAGTGCAGCGTGTAGTTACTCCCCCTGATGAAAAATCACTTAATGTCTCGAAGACGACGCATTCCAATCTTATATATCAGCTTTTCAAATATTGAGGTTGGTAATGCCTTAGTGAACAGATCAGCCAAATTATCACTTGAACGAACTTGTTGTACATCTATTTCACCATTCTTCTGAAGATCATGAGTGAAAAAGAATTTCGGTGAAATGTGTTTTGTTCTATCTCCTTTGATATATCCCCCTTTCAATGGAGCTATGCATGCAACATTGTCTTCATACAATATTGTTGGAATATTCTCTTTCGAAGAAAGACCACATGTTTGCTGAATGTGTTGAGTTATAGATCTTAACCAAACGCATTCTCGACTTGCTTCGTGAATGGCTATTATCTC